ATCAACAAGAATGCAGCAAGCAATAGATGCAGATTTCTCATCAGAAACTCAGGGGGTCAAAAGGCAGTAGGCCAATAAATGAAAAGTGTGAAAAGAAAAAGTGTGTCAGCCAAGACACTTAGCAAGACTTACCTTCAAAAGTAGAGGGTAGGGCCGGAGATTTAGCTCAGTGGTATCACCACCTGCCTTGCAAGAGCAAGGTCCTGAGTTCGATCCCCGATACCCAAAACAAACAAAACAAAACAAAACAAAAAAGTCGAGGGAAATTTATGGCATTCCTAGGTTAAGGAAAGCTGAGGAGATTCATTTGCACTAGAGCTTCCAGCAAGGTGAAAGGAAAGGACATTAAACAGGAACTGAGGCACAGGAACAAGTCAGGTTGTCAACACAGGTAACTTACATGGGCACATAGAAAAGCTAGTGTCACTTTAACTACGGGTTGCAATTCTATTTTTTGTTTTCTACATTACTTAAGAGACTAACATATTTTAGAATACTTATCTAAATCTAGTAATGTCATATCTTTGGTTTGGCCCTTTATATTTGATTTTCTTCATACTGCAAGAGATTGATGCATTAAAAATAATTTTTAGCTTATGTTTTGGGACACATAAAGATGCAAAGAGTGAGAATAGTGTTTGTAAAGGAACAGCATTTTCTTAATGTACTGGAGTTAAGTTGATATAAATTCAAATTAGAATATTCTAAATTTACAATCTTACATGTAGTTCCAATGATAACCACAACAAAAATAGTGATAGAATATACACAACAGTAAAGGAATAAGAAATTCAAATATTTCACTACAGAATTAACTAAGTTCGACGGAGACTGTGATGTATGATGTAGGAAATGAGGGACAAAATAACTATTGAGCAAACAGAAAACAAAAGGGAACAACAAAAATAATTTCCTCCTGACCATCGTTCACTTTAAATGTAAAGAGATTAAACTCTCCAGTCCAAAGATAGAAGTTGGGAGAATGAATGAAAGCAGATGATCCAACTACAGGAGTCTAAAAGAAGCTTAAGTGAGCTCCAAAGGCACAGGCGAACTGAAAGTGATTAAGTAGTATCCAAACAACAGCGTGGTGGGCATACTAATATCAGAATAAACAGACTTCACCTTTAAAAAGTTATAAGATGCAGGGCTGGGGATTTAGCTCAGTGGTTCTGCTGCCTGCCTCGAAAGCGCAAGGTCCTCAGTTCGATCTCCTATACAAAAAAAAAAAAAAAAAGTTTATAAGATGCAAACAAGGGTATTATATGTTAATAAAAGCGATACAGTAAGAAAATATAACAATTTTGAAAATTTATTCAGAAACAGGATGTGATGCCTTCTAGTCAACTTTATTCTGGAGATTCTAGATAGGTAAATTAGTCAAGGGAATGAAATAAAAGGCAGAGGAAAGGAAGAGGAAAAATAAAACTACTTTTACTTGCAGATGACATGATCTACATAGACTACTCTGAAGAATATGTGATGGGCCGGGGATTTAGCTCAGCGGTTCCGCTGCCTGCCTTGTAAGTGCAAGGACCTGAGTTCGATCCCCGTTACCCCACCCCCCGAAAAAGAGAATATGTGAAACTGGGCCAGGGATTTAGCTCAGTGGTTCCACTGCCTGCCTCGCAAGCACAAGGTCCCGAGTTCGAATCCCAATAAATAAATAAATAAACAAAATTAAAAAAAAGAAAATGTAAAACTATTAGAACTAAAAATGAGTTGGTCAAAGTAGCAGGGTATACCTAATGGCAATAAACAAAAGTCAGTTGCATTACTATACACCAACAATGAACCATATGAAAAGGAACTTAAAACAATTTCACTTACAGTAGGTAGCATGCAAAAGAAAAAAATGATAAATTTAACAAAATAAGTGAAAGACAACACAAATCTACAAAGCCACATTGAAGGAAATTAAAGACCTAAATAAATGAACATCACTCTTGAACTCATTGGAAGACTTGTTACTGCTAAAAAGGCACACTACTCCCTAAAACTACCTACAGAGCCTATGCATTCCATATCATAATTACAAAGAAGTGGAAAAGCCAATCATAAAGTTAATATGGAATTACAAGGGACTTTAGTTCAAATGAGCTTGAGAAAGAGCAACTAAGGTAGAAGACTTAGCCTCTGGGCTTTCAAACTTCATGCAAATATAAACAGCTCAAGACTGTATGGTAATGTCATAAAGTAGACATAGCAAATAGGATAAATGAACTTATAATTCAATTGATTTTGGATGAGAACACAAAGACCGCTGCTTGAGGAAAGAATACTTGATCAATGGTGCTAAGACAGCTGGATATCCACATGTAAAATAGTTCATTTGGACCCCTCCCTTAAACTTTGTGCAAACCCAAAATGTAGCACTTACAGCATGAGATGACAAAATGGCCTCTTAGAAGAAAAGCTATAGATGCTTATCTTCAGATGCTAGATGAGGAAATTGTTCCTTAGGTGTAAGACCAAAATCACAACCAAAGAAAAAACATTCTTCACAAAATTAAAAACTTTTGTGCATCTAAAGGCACTATCAATAAAGGAAAGGGCTGCAGAGTCCTCTGCCCTCCGGCAGAGGGCAGCGCAGTCACCAAGGGCGGTAGGCAGGGGAAACCTATGATGGCTAGACAGCCTTCAGACTGTCTGGGTCTGGGGAATGGGCCTGCCTTGCTCAGTCTGATGGAGCTTCACTTTCCCCAGAAGTCTTAGGCAGGTAAAACATCAGCAGCCAAATGAGCTGCCACCCCCAATCCACCACGCACATGGCATGCTGAGAAAGTGCCCGCAGGGCTCTTCCTTCTGTGAGCTGGTGTGGTGAGGACATAGTTCCCAGAAGCTTATATGTACGGTACTTGTATTGTTGTCGTGTGTAGACTGTGAGCATCCATGCTACTCTACTAAGTTCCTACCTCTGTTATTACATCACTATTCCCTGTGATTCCTTCTGTTAGCTGCTTCTGTTGCTCTTTCCCACGTGGCACTATGCAAGGTGTGATCAAATATTTTCCCAAATGATCCTAGGATGGGACAAAATATTCCATGAGCTGAAATATGTCCAGTGTTGTTGGTCTATGTCATGTGGTACCTGTAGGAGAGACCGATACACATTGTGAACAATTAGGATAATATATGTGAGTACAAAATTCACTTGTCTTACTGAGCTTCAGTTTCTCTCCTAGGCCAGTGAACCAATACCAGGTTCTCAACTGTGGCAGTTCACCATGTCCCACTGTTTCAGCATTCTATATAAAAACCGAAGAAGACTGTTAATAAAGAACAGAGATGGCGAACCTTTTAGAGCTTTCAATGGTACAAACAGCCTGCTGTGGCACACGTGCTGTCGTTTTGCCACCACTGATAAGGAGGGTACAGGTGTGTCCTTCCTCTGCAGCTTCCCCTCCACTGTTTGTGGTCACAGAAGCCCAGTGAGAGCTGCACCTTGTCGCTGGCTGTGGTGTGCCAAAGGTCCCCTCTTGGGAAACTCTCAAAGCTGCTGGCCGGATGGGCAGCCGATTCTAGATTCTGTCACCTCATCCATGTCCTTTGGAAAAATAGCTCCAATGTTACCTCTCATCTCCCTTTTTACCTGAGGGCTCAGACTGGGGGCCACTCAACTGGCTGTTACAACCATTCTTTAATATCTATACCAATGTTGGCCTCACCACCTTTCTTCTGTTTTAAGCCCTTGTGCCAATGTACTGTGCTCCACGACAGCTCTGCAAGAAGTGTGCTCTTCGTGTCCATTTACAGGCGAGGGACAGTGATCTTCAGTGATTGGTGCAAAACCACTGCTTGGCTGCTAGGTGAAGCCAGCTTTGTCCAACTATGCTGCAGTGGCTTCCTGGGTGACAAAGGCTGAATGTAGCAGTGGGTCTGGGATGAGGCTCCTGAGTTGGAAACAGTCAGCCTGTACCTGTTGTGGAGGTTTCGGGGATAATGAGGTAGGCTTATGAATGCAGAGTGACACTGGGGACCTGGCTTGGAGTCACAGCACTTGGCTGTCTGCTAGCTTGTGGCCCCCAGCCCCAGCTCTCCTCCTCCATGAGCTGTCCTCCTTCTGGCCCCCCTGCACTCCCACTAGGCTGTCTCCTTGGGGGAGGGCCAATGGATATGCCTGTTGCTATTGGAGGCTCCAATCCTTGCCATGTCAAGCTCTTACCACGCAGGTCCTTTCGTCACAGGAATACTGACATCTCCGTGGGTCCAGCCATTGTTCTGCACGGAGACACCGGGATCTTTTTCTCTCATCTTGGGGCTTCTAGAAGAAGCAAGGAGCCCACCTGACCTTACAGAGATGGGCGGGGGACCCCCATCTGAAGTGTGTTAATTTGATTTCTTTCTCCAGGGATGTGAGCTGGCCTTCAGCATCAGCTCACAGCATTTCCCTGGCGGCAGCCTGAGAAAGTGGGCAGGAAGCCAGGATCTGTGCTGCAGTGGGCGGGGCCCCAGAATGATGGCCAGTACCCAGGGGAGAAGGGAGACTGCTGTCCCTGCCTGGCATGCAGAAAGCAGGGAGGGTGTGATGCCTGCAGAGAGGGAGTGGGCCTCCGCTGTGGGGATCTGAGTGGGGAGGGCTTCTGGCTCTGGCTCTGGCTGTGGAGATGCAGGTGACAGTGGAAAAGGCAGAGGCTCCAGCTGTGGCTGTGGAGGGTGCTGGATAGGGTTCCTGAGTTGCAGTGATCAGGGTAGGGAGCTGGGTCTGCTGCTGGGAAAGAAAAGGGGAGGGCACTAAGCAACTGGCTTGCAGATGCTGGTGGGAGGGGCTCCAGCTGTCAGAGTCAGACCAGGGGTTGGAGGAATCTGCCAAAGTGAAGAGGATGCTTGCCTAAACCGGAGGGAAGAAAAGCGCCTCTCAGGCGAGGGGTAGAAGCAATAGCTCTGGCTGCAACACGGAATGGGAGGTGCTTTAAGCTACTATGGGTAGCAAGTCTCCAGCTGTTCAGTGGGGCTGGGCTGGGGCAAAGACATCCCTTTCTTCTTTTTCCCATCCACAGGCTGCTCCTGAGACTGCGACAGTCAGCTGACACCTTTTGCAGTCATGCTCCCTTCATCCAGCTCCCCTGCTATGGGGCTGTCCATGCTGCGAGATTGGTGCAGGTGGATGGGTGTGAATGCGCAGCGCTGTCTGCTCATCATGGGCATCCCTGATGACTGCGAGGAAGATAAGTTCCGAGAGATACTGCAGGCTGCGCTGAGACCCCTGGGCAGATACCGGGTGCTCTGCAGGGTCTTTAGGAAGGAGCTTGGAGCCAGGGTCACTTTGGTTGAGTTTGCTGAGTATTTAAACCGAAGTTTGATCCCCCAACAAATACCAGGCAATGGGGAGCCTTGGAGTGTGATCTTCCTGCCCCAGGTCCCTGATTCTGAGTTTCAGGAGTGTCGAAACCTCCCTGCACAGCCCCAGGGGGAAGAAATGGGAGAAAGCATGGGTAAGGGCTGCAAGTGTCAATGGGGAGCCTTGGAGTGTGATCTTCCTGCCCCAGGTCCCTGATTCTGAGTTTCAGGAGTGTCGAAACCTCCCTGCACAGCCCCAGGGGGAAGAAATGGGAGAAAGCATGGGTAAGGGAGCTGCAAGTGAGGGAGGAGCTGCAGCTGAGGAAGAAGCTGCGGCTGAGGCAGGTGTTTCAGGTGAGGGAGGAACTGCAGGCGAGGAAAGAGCTGCAGGTGAGGCAGGACCTCCAGGAGAAGAAGGGGCCTGGGATGCAGCAGCAGTGACCCATCTTAGAGCAGGAGCCCAGCAGTGGGCCCAGGCACTGCAGCCTATCCTGGAAAACATGGCATACCAGGAACTGAGAGCCTTTTCCGGGATCGCAGAGCCAGATCCTGAGGAAGAAGAGTCCTTCGAGAGCTGGCTGAACCACGCCAATGACATGCTGTATCTGTGGCGCCATATTTCAGAGAGGGAGAGGAGGAGGAGGCTGGTGGAATCAAAGACATCCCTTTCTTCTTTTTCCCATCCACAGGCTGCTCCTGAGACTGCGACAGTCAGCTGACACCTTTTGCAGTCATGCTCCCTTCATCCATCTCCCCTGCTATGGGGCTGTCCATGCTCCGAGATTGGTGCAGGTGGATGGGTGTGAATGCGCAGCGCTGTCTGCTCATCATGGGCATCCCTGATGACTGCGAGGAAGATAAGTTCCGAGAGATACTGCAGGCTGCGCTGAGACCCCTGGGCAGATACCGGGTGCTCTGCAGGGTCTTTAGGAAGGAGCTTGGAGCCAGGGTCACTTTGGTTGAGTTTGCTGAGTATTTAAACCGAAGTTTGATCCCCCAACAAATACCAGGCAATGGGGAGCCTTGGAGTGTGATCTTCCTGCCCCAGGTCCCTGATTCTGAGTTTCAGGAGTGTCGAAACCTCCCTGCACAGCCCCAGGGGGAAGAAATGGGAGAAAGCATGGGTAAGGGAGCTGCAAGTGAGGGAGGAGCTGCAGCTGAGGAAGAAGCTGCGGCTGAGGCAGGTGCTCCTGGTGAGGAAAGAGCTGCAGGTGAGGCAGAAGCTCCTGATGAGGAACGAGCTGAAGGTGAAGCAGGAGCTGCACGTGAGGAAGGAGCTGCAAGTGAGGCAGGAGTTTCAGGTGAGGCTGGAGCTGCAGGTGAGGCAGGAGCTGCAGATGAGGCAGGAATTTCAGGTGAGGCTGGAGCTGCGGGTGAGGCAGGAGCTGAAGGTGAGGCAGGAGTTTCAGGTGAGGCAGGAGTTTCAGGTGAGGCAGGAGCTCCTGGAGAGGAAGAATCTATAGATGAAGAAGCTTCAGGGGCTGCAGCTGAGGCAGAAGCAGCATATGAAGCAGGGCCTGAAGATGAGGAAGGAGCTGAACTTGAGCCAGGAGCTGCAGGTATGGCAGGAGTAGCAGATGAGCCAGGAGCTGCAGAAGAGCCAGGAGTAGCAGGTGAAGCAAGAGCTGTAGGAGAGCCAGTAGCAGCAGCACGTGTGGCAGGAGCTGCACGTATGGCTGGAGCTGCAGGTGAGCCAAGAGCAGCAGGGGCTGCAGGGGAGCCAGGAGCAGCAGATGTGGTAGGAGCTGCAGGAGAGCAAGGAGCAGCAGGGGATGCAGGTGAGGCAGGAGCTGCAGGTGAGGCAGGAGCTGCAGGCGAGGCAGGAGCAGCAGGGGGTGCAGGCGAAGCGGGAG